CACACACTCTCTATCTCTCTCACACACATTCACACTGTCTCTCTCTCTTACACTCACAATGTCTGTCACTCACACACACACTCACACTGTCTGTCTCTCTCACACACTCACACTGTCTCTCTCACACACACACACTGTCTGCCTCTCTCTCACACACACACGCACTGTCTGTCTCTCTCACACACACTAACACTTTCTGTCTCTGTGTCTCACACACACACACTCTGTGGCTCTCGCACACACACACACTGTTTTCTGTCTGTCTGTCTGTCTCTGTCTCTCTCTCTCACACATCCACACAAACACAGTCTGTTTCTCTCACACACACTCACACTGTCTGGCTGTCACACACACTGTCTGTCTCTCTCTCTCACACACACACACACATGCTGTCTCTCTCATGCACACACTCATACTGTCTGTCTCACATAAACACTCATACTGTCTGTCTCTCTCACAGACACACACGCCCTCATACACACAGACTCTTTGTCTCTCTCTCTCTCACACACACACACACTTTCACGCTCCATCACTCACACACACTCACAAACATACACTCCCACCACACTGTCACAATTGCCCACACTCTTACACTTGTGCACACACACTCACAAACACATGCTCACACACTATCACACTCCCACCCACACGCACATTCAAGGGCACACTCAGATCTGAGGCACATTCAAAATACCCGTGCCCAGGTCACATATGACAGTCAAGGGCATTCAGCCTCTGATATTCAGGTAAGTGAACTCTGAGGCAGACTCTGAGATACACAACAAGGGAGAATCACTGAGCAGAAACTGACAGCCAAGTACCGTACACATGAGGACAGCCTCAACCATGGGTTCATTTCATGTGGTCCCACCACACTGTTCTGTATCTGTAAAGTCTTCCTTACTGTCCTGTTTAGACACATCACCTTGATGCATTGTTATAATCTCTTTACCTTATAATTAGTTTGTACAGTTTTGGATTACTTATGACTTTGGTTAGACCCTCGGTCTGCGACTCTTATACCTAGCATGTTATTCCAGTCGTATGGTTTGTCTCCAGTACCACCTTATTTTTAATTTTTTCTAATTATGTCCCTGCCTCACTGAATCAGATTATAGGCCATGCCTTTGCTGGTTATTCAGCTGTTGGCACTTTACTCACCGTCTAACACACTCGGTCACCTGCAGGGGACTGACTATTCGGCACTCCCCTCGCTCCATTTGTACGGTGTTTTAATCTCTCTGCCCTTGATCTCGCTGCCTACAAACTCAGTGTCTGATCAAGGGGCAGCGCTGTGAAAGCTTGTGATTTAAAATGAACCTGTTGGACCATAACCTGGTATCCTGTGATTTCTGACCTTGTCCTCCCCAGTCCAACACCAACGCGTAGCCAAGAGAGACGGGAAGGAGTTAAAACAATATCGTTACTACAAGCAATGTCTGATGTATCTAAACATAGACCCAAACAGATGGGTGCTGTGGTCTGCAGTAGACGTTGGTTTCTGGGGTGGCGGGGTGCGTGTAGTGGTTTTGGGGA